AACGTGTTAGGTATGAGCCGACAGGATTAAAATCTTGAGTAGTTCTGATTTGCAGTTTCAAATCAGATAGGACTAGGTCGGGATTCTTACTTGGGTTTGGGATTGGAATGATTGTGGAAAGAAAGAAGAGAAACAGAAAAAGTTGTATCCTTAGGAGGAGAATGTTTTCTAGAAGTTTATAATCTAGTGATTGATTTTTGTGGGGTTAGCATGATATACAGAGAATGGTTCTGGGATGTTAAGAAAGAGAAAAAGTTTTGATGTCTTATAACGTAAGAAGAAAACAGAACCATAGTTAAGAAGAAATCCCCTATCCACTAGTATTGATAAGAAACTTCTCCTAAGACAAAAAGAAAAAAATGGGATTGATGTTGAAGGGTAGACATAGGGATCATCTGGGTTTAGATGATTAGGAGTAAGCACTTGGGAACCATTGGGTAGTCAAGGTTTTATTCATGTATGCATTTGTTGGTCCTTACCTTTAGCATTCTCCCTAAAGCTCAATCCATTCATTGAGAGATCCTTGTCCTGAAATTGTTTAAACCCTCATGATTCTCAAAACCTTTTTCTGCCTAGCCAAGTGAGTTTGTTAAGCCTTGTGCAACCAGATTCATATACTTGAATAATGAATGTTAAAAGGAATGAATGATTTGAATGCATGTGTAGATCAAGGGATAGAATCAGTTTCGGATTTGATGAGTTTGTCTAAAGTCGTTAAGTAAAGTTCTCTCAGCATGCATCAAAGACTTAGCAACCAGGACATTGATTTTAACTGCTCTATCTTGCAAGTTAAAGGTTCTGAGACCCCATTTTCAAACCTCTCTTCCACTTTGTTTCTTTTTGCTTTGCTTGAGGGCAAGCAAAGACTAAGTTTGGGGGAGTTGATAAATCTGTATTTCATCGCTTTTTTAGCATGCATTCATCATCTTTTCAGCATCATTCACTTGTTGATTCGCATCATATTGATCCCTTTCTGCATGTTTTACATACTTAGGTAGGTTTTATGCATATCATGCATATCTTGCATACATTGTGCATATTTGGAGTGTTTCAGGTACTTAGGAGACATGCAGAGCGAAGCAGAGGAACAATTGTTACTCGACATGCAAACGATAGAGTGGGACGATCGAGTGAGAAGCAAGGATGCGTTGCAGTTACATTGACGTTCGAGTGAGCAGCAGACGTATACGATCGAGTGGCAGATCGAGCAGAAGGGAAGCGAAGCAGAACTACCTGTCACTCGATGCACTCACTCGAGTGACATGATCGAGCAAAGCAAAGAAGTAGCTGATGGGTTTACAGGTCACTCGAGTGACACGATCGAGCAAAGCAGAGAAGATGGTCACTCGAGATGCTCACTCGACCAACTTAGTCTTAACAACCTTTGAACCGCTTTTACGTTGTCGTTTTATGTTTTAAGGTTTTCCCAAACATTGTTATAAATAGGCTTCATTTGGATTGCCCAAGAGATCGAGTTTTTTATTAGGTTTTTGTTGTTAGCCACCAAACAATCCAGAAAATTGTAATTCATATTTCTTTTGAGTTATTGAGATTTTGGAACTAGTTCTTGAATCATTGTTGTTACTCTTCCTGTCATCTTTATTATTATGCATGTTTTAAACGATTCTTGTTTCATGATGTTTAACATGATTTCTGCGTCTGAGTAGTGTTAGGGTTCTTGAGGATGGGATAGATTAGGTGGAGGATGTTAGTTTGCTAGAGTGTTTATGTTAGATTCGTTTTGTTTCCCTTCTGGACTAGAGTTTTATTAGCTAGTTCTTCTCTAATCAATTGGAACTAGGTCATAGACATTTCATACCCGAAAGGTATATGATGAAATGTCTGAACCAACTAGTGCCAGAGATTTACATGCTTAGCCCAAGAGATTGGTTGTCTAAGATGTTTATTGACATTAATGAGCTGTTTCTTTATGCCTGTTTACTGCATGTTTCATCAATGAGAATTGAGATTAGGAAGTGTTGTAAACTTGATAGTTTCTGCCAAGAGATTGGATTGACTAGTATTAGAAGTTCATTGTCTAGGGATTAGAATGTTTGCAGTTTGATAAACACTCGAAATAGATTAGCGTACTCCACCTACATCAATAACCTCATCCTCGGGATCTTCTATCCATTTGTGCTTTCTGTTTAATTCTCTTGTTATTTACTTGGTCTGCTTTGTTTTCTTGCCAGTATCAATAATCGTTACGTTTTAGTTTATGCATGGTAGTCTATGTTTTACAGCCTTACATTTATCGCATGTTTAACATGTTTGCTTAGGATCACTGAAAACCAAAAGATCATTTATACTTGCTTGACTTAAACATTTCTGATATATCTTGATTGCTAGCATCACACCTGATTGGATTGATACCTATTGTACTGCAATGACATGATAGTACTCTAGGGTGATTGACAGAAAAATCCTAGTATCACTTATGTTACTTCAAATCGCTACAATATAATGACAACAAACATTTCAAAATCATTCAATTCATTGTTGAGTGAACCATGGGAGCTGCCAGTGCTTTCCCTTCTTGAGGCCATTAGGTTATAGCTGACTGAATTGTTTCACCAGAGACGTGTACTTGCTGCTAAACACAACAAGCGTGTTACACCTAAAGTAGTCCAGACGTTGATCTCAAGATTCTCAGAAGCAATGAAGCTTGACTTCTTCCAAGTTTATCGAGATGAATTTGAGGTGAAAGATGATGTGAAAAAATTATTGTTGACTTAAAGAAAAGACATTATTGTTGTTATGTCTTTGACATTGACAAAATACCGTACATCTATGCAATTGCTTCATCGAAGCGGTCTGATATGGATGAGAATCAGTTTGTTGAAGATAGTCATTTAACTGAAACTTGGGGAAAATCTTATTCTGAGAGCGTACACCCAAACAAAGATGTAATGAATTCGATTTTCCCTGAATTGACTAGCAATTTCTTCTCCAGGGCGTAAGCATAGTAGTGGAAGACCGTGAAAAAAGCAAATTCGTTCTATGGGAGAGTTTGGCGTGCCGAGTTCAAAATCACAAAGTCACAAATGCAATAGATGTGGAAAAAGAGGACACAACAAATGCACATGAAAAATGCAATCTTATTACTTGGTAAAGGTACCGTTGTATATACTTTCATTTCTCTTTTAAGCTTCATGTTCAATTTGTAACTAGTTTATGTTTTCATAATGTAGAAAATTGATGTGTTTTTTTTTTCTTTTTTTTTGCAGATATTGTGGCTAAGACGACAAGAATATTGTGTGTTTCCCACTTTTTTAAAATGTTTTTTAGCCTCAGTGTATACTCGAGGAGTTATCAACTGATTTGAATTTCATCGTTTCATTTGATTATGAACTTTTATGAAGGCAATCCTAAATGAAATGAGAATCTTCCTAAATTTCATTTAATCCTTCCTAAATTTTTATAATTTTTTTAGTTCTTGCATCCTACTTTTTTGTTGGTTTTCTTCAATGTTTCTTTCAAATTTAATCCACTTATGACATTTGTTGATTTCAATCTAGGAAAACAATTTTTGTGCAACATCTAGTGTGTTTTATTACCTATATTTATTTTAATTGTTGTACATAATTTAAATGAGAAGCTTGGCTTAATGGTTACATAATGTTACACATTGTACAATGGATCGGTGTTCGACTCATAGGAGCTGTAAAGTTATAAAAATAATTTCTCCAGTGAACACGTTGATAATCTCGTATCTATATATATACAGTTATCTTTTTCTCTCTTCTCATGATGCCACCTAAGCATCCACCTAAGCCATATTTTTGTTTAAACATTAAAATAAATTTAAAACATTCATTTAGTGCATATTTATGTTACTTATTTAATTAATAGAAAGTTTATATAAATAAAAATAAATTATGTAAAAAAATGAAATGTTAAAATAAGAAAAACAATACTTTAATTTTTTATTAGTGTTAATAATATAATTCAACTTTCATTTTAAATTGATCATAATTTAATATTTTAAATATGTTACTGAGTTTTAGAATGGAAGTAAAATTTAAATTTATGGTAGACTAAAACAACATTTAATAAAACAACATTTAACATATAAAATTATAAAGAGGAAAAATAAAATGAAAGTGAAATATTAGTTTATAACATGATCAAAAAGAAAACAAATGATATTTTATAAATTGAATCAAATGCTTTTAATCCAAATTTGAGTATTGAAAGATAATAATTAAAGAGAAAATAATTATAATATTTTTTGAAAATCAATTAAAATAATAATAAAATCTCACAATGTGAATAAAAAATCAACGAAACAAAAATATAAACCTCCCGCGCGGAGCGCAGGTCAACTGCTAGTATATTTATAATTTTGTTCTTTCGAAGTGAATGAGAATCTTGACTAATTGGTTATAGGCTCTATCATAAAGCATAAGGGTAAGGTGTTCGAGTCCTTGAGGCGTTTTTTTAATATTGTTATAATTTTTTATGAAGGTCAACCTAAATGAATACAAATCTTTCTAAACTTAATTTTAGTCCTTCATAAATGGTTTAATATTATTATTCAGTTTGTTATTAAGGTCAACCTTAATGAATACAAATCTTCTTAAACTTCATTTTAGTACTTCATAAATGATTTAAAACCTTACTAAACTTTCATTCTCAGTTAAATCAAAGTTTCATTCAGTCCTTCCTAAACATCATTATATTCTTCCTAAATGAATTAAAACTCTCAAACATATTTCATTCTTTGTTGAATTAAATTTTCATTCCATCCTTCCTAAAAATTTGGTTCTTAGCTAAATTAAAGTTTTATTACATCCTTCCTGAACTTCATTTTAGTCCTTCATAAATAATTCAAAACCTTCCTAAGCATTCATTCTTATTTTAATCAAAAATTCATTCAATCCTTCCTAATCTTCATTATATTCTTCCTACATATTTCATTCAAACTTTCCTAAATGAATTAAAAAAATTCTGAATAAAGTGTTTGGTTGTGCATATCCTTTCTGAATATTTATTGTGTATTTATATATCTATTGTTAGCTTTTTGGTAACACACCCTTGACAATTACTGAAAAGACGCTGGTTTAAATCCTCATAAGATACAAGGGCACTTTTAAAAAAATAATTTCTGAATGAATTTTGTTTCATGTATACCCACATGAAATTTATTTATTTCTTCCTAAATAATTTTCGATGACCTCCTTAATAACTTTCTTTTAATACAATCCCAAAGCATTTTCATGAATAACGGGGTGTTATTGGTTTGTGATTTACATGGTGTTTTAATGACTTTATATGTTAGGTACAATCTGTTGTTATTCAATCAAGATTTTACTAAACTCTTTTTAAATTTGGTGTTATTCGTTATTGATTTGTAGAAAGTCATTCAAAATCTTCATAAATATGGGGTTATTGGATTCAGAGTTTTACTAAGTCATTAAAATTTCTGTGTTATTCAATTAAAACAAACGAATCTCTAATTGTTAATGAATTAAAATTTTATGGTATTGATTTATGATTTTAAACTCTTTTCTTTACAAACTAAAGTCATGAAAAGTATCTTATAAATACGAAGATTGTTTGAGAGACTTTACAAGAATATAGAAAACTAATCAACAAAACTCTCAAACAATCCATTAAAATCATACAATCTATGACTTTACTAGAGTCATCTGGACTTGAATCTCTTGTGCCCTTTGACCATAATTTATATACTTGCCTACCCTTGTATGTTCTAAGTACCCCTTGACTTATATTTACTAAATAAAAGACAAATTTTGCCCTTCCTTACTGATTGATTTAATTAAATAAAAAAGGAAAAAGAAAATGGATGCGGACCCCACTACATCACCATCTTCTCTCTTCTTCATTTCCAGCCACGATCTTCATCTTCAACCACGATCGAGGGCGAGCTCCTCCTCCGTTTAACTCCATCGTCTCTCTCATCAACACGAGAAGCAACCCAACAACTGAGGTACTTATTCATATCCATTGTTAAATTCAAAACTCGTTGGCATGAAGTGGAGTTGTTGTGGATTGTATTTGTTCCCTATTGAACTATTAACATTGTAGATTTGGATTTGATCCGATTTTTCTTATCCTCATTGTCAAT